AGGAGGCATTGTTCTCTTTCTATCACTGGCATGGTTTCTTCGAGGACTCCTTACAGATGCCAATCCCAGCTTTGGCTCACACTCCTCCATCTGAGACTCCAGTTTTGTAGACACATCACTGGTGTGTGTCCCTCAAGTGCCATCAATTTCTCTTTTTTGTGGAAACCCATCAAAGCTATTAGCTTTGCCTCCACTGCTTGATCACACAATAGCATTTTTCACTTACTTCAATTCAAAACATTCTGGAGGAACATGGGTTCCTCTCAGAACCAGCCATGCAAGTTCTCCTGGTCCACTCAAAGGAGCCCCGTCGCCTTCCTTCAAAAAAGGCTCCATCAGGACAGAAAGATATTAGGAAGGATCCTCATCAATTACTCATGTTGCCCTTCATTTAGGAGTCCATGAAGGCTCTTTTGGATGCTGCCAAACCCTGTTCAGCACTGACTTGGGCATCAGCATTAACGCAGCTGCCAATGATCCTGGCACTAGATGCTGAGTGTTTTCCCTGCATTAAAGAGTCTGGGGGCCTTAAAGGGAAAATCTTCTATTACTTTCTGAGAGGCTGGAGCAAAGACTAATGTTTGGAGTCATAAGTATCTCCTCAGAGCTGTGCCAGTGGCCATAGATCTTGTAGTTGTATCTGAGGGGTTGTAAACTGCTCTCAGAGCACACTTGGCTAATGTCCTCCCCTCAGCAAGTTCTTTGCAACTGCTCTGTGCTCTTTAGGTAAAATACTAGGGAACAGATTAAGACTAAGAATCATAGCCTGGTCTCTGGGACTTTCCCAGTCTGCATCTACTGCTAAAAGAAAGTCAGATTGTACAAACTTTCAATTTCAGAAACAGTCCCCTTCCCCCATTCAATACCAACAGAGTACCTAACTTCAGTGGTGATACTAGTCTTCAGCTTCTTTTAAAATGGCTGCTGTAGAAAAAACACAGTCCAGAAATCCCACATTGCATGTTGTCATAAGGTTCCAAACATCACTTCTGATGGATGCTCAAGAGCCATACCCCTCTCCCTCGACAGGTCAGACCTCATCCTTCTTCAATGCCTGGTGCTAGATTATTTGGATTGTTGGGTATTGGAGACCATAAACAATGGTTATATAATCCAGTTTCATACCGGCCTCCTCCACTCTCTCACCCCCAAACCTCCTTTGGGGACCCCTCTTGTGAAAAACTCCTATTGGTGGACATAAGCTCCCTTCTTCAAAAGGGTGCTGTAGAGGACCAATAGCAAGGGAAAGGGTTTTACTCCGGATGTTTCCTAAAATCTAAGAAGGGGGACTGCCTAAGGCCCATCCTGGACCTCAGAAACTTCAACAGGTACATAAAGACTTTCAAGTTCAGGATGCTAACACTGGGGGACATCATCCCATTCCTGTTCAAGGGGAATTGGTATGAACCACTTAACCTGTAGTACATTTGCTTTCATGTAGTAATAAAACTCACCCACATCAAGTACCTTTGATTTTGTGTGGGAGAAAATCACTTCCAATTTCATGTATTCCTGTTTGGTCTGGCCACAGCACCGGGTGTATTTGCAGAATGCCTTTCAGTAGTTGCACACATCACAGACACATGTACCTTTACCAGGATAATTTGGCTACTAAAGGCCAGCTTGCTAAACAGTCTTTCTTCTGGAGCTTAATACACGTGAAATCTTCTGAAGTCTCTAGAGCTCATCAATTGGGAGAAGTTCTCACGTGAGCCTACACAGAGAATCACCTTTATCAGGTTGGTCCTGGACTCCACTCAGGTGAGGGTCTTCCTCCTGGAAGATAGATTTCTGAAAATAAGAGACTTTCTGCAAACTTGCAGGGATCAACCTGTGCAAACACACTTTTTCCTAAAGCTTATGGATCTCATGACCTCATCAACTTACATGATAACCTTTCCTTGTCTAAGAATGAGGCCCCTCTAACTTTGGGTTGCATGTCATTACAGACTCATTGTACACAGCCTAAAAGGAGTGCTTCAACAGCTACCTTTGTGCAGGTTCAGAGACAATGTACTGAGGGGCTGTTGTTCAGTCTTCTATCACCTACTATTACAGTCACCACAGATGCCTCCAGCCTCAGTTGGGGTGCTGATTGCCAGGACCTCTGTGTACGTGGACAGTGGAACATTTTGGAGTCCAAACTCCACATCAGTGTCCTGAAACTCAGAGTGGTGAGATAGGTCCTAATGGCCTTCCACACAACATCAAATGGTACAGGTACTTACAGACAATACCTTGGCCATGTATTAGATCAACAAGCAGGGAGGAACACACTCCTGTGTATGGTGGCAAGGATACTGTTGCTATGGTTTATCCACCATCATATTTACAGTAAAGCAGTACACCAATCAAGGGAAGAGAACATATAGGCAGAAGCACTCAGCAGGAGGTTGTATGATCCGCACTAATGGTCCCTGAACCAATGACAGCCTCACTTTTACTCAGGTAGGGATAACTAAATATCTGATCTCTCAGTTCTTGTCCTCAAAGGAAACCCACGCAACACATTCAAAAGATGAGCCTGGGAGATTAAATTCATAATTCCGCTGGACATTAAAAACCATGGACTTAATAGAGGCACTGGTTCATTACAACAATTTGTAACCTAATCTACTGCCTGTTAACCCTTAATTGCCCACTTCATTTCAAGTGGTCCCTTACATTGTGTGTGAAATCCTTATGCTTCACAATATGATCCACCTCATATTTAGATCCGACACTCTGGTTACTTTTCTCCTGACCTGAGGAAGATCTCTGAAGCTCGGAAGTTTGTGCTTTTCCGCAACGACTAAAGAGTTAATACCATTACAAGAGGGTATACCTGCAATTTTAGAATATCTATTGTACTTGAAATCACAGGGGTTAGCAGTAACTTCCCTCAAGGGTCATTTGGCAGCTAAATTGGCTTATCATAACTTGGTCAGGGATAATCCTATATTATCTCACCCCACAGTTTCATGTTTTCTGAAGGGACTAATGCCTTTCCCCATGAGAGAATGTTCTCATACCTAGGACTTGAATCTAGTACTTACTATGCTTATGTGTCCTCCCTATGAGCCACCAACCCAGGCATCCTTGGAACATCTGTCTATCACAACAGAGCTCTTAATCTCCTCTGCAAGGAGGTTTAGTGAGCTCAGTGCCTGGATGGCCATTCCATCCTACGTAGTACACAGAGAGAAAGTTGTCATGGGACCTCACCCTAGTTTTATGCCTAAAGTTATCTCAGATTTTTACCTGTCACAATCTGTGTCCCTTCCCATTGTCTTTCTCAGATCTCACGCTCACCAGGGGAGTCTCATGATAGAGCTTTGCAAAGCAGCAACATGGAGTTCAGTCCGTGTTTTCATTAAGCACTAGTCATTGGACTTGGCATTGTGTACTGGTGCTCAATTTGATAGAGCAGTGCTATAGTCCATTTTTTCCTAGAACTCCTTGCCCATCATACTCTGATGGGGGCACTGTTTGCTAATCTCCCATTAGTGGGAATATACAGAGGCCCTAAAAGAAGAAATATAGGTTACTTACTGGTAAGTGGTGGTCTTCAAGAGTTGTTTCTGTGCATTCACACTACCCAACCACCTTCTCGTCTGCCTAGGCATTCTTTGTGTTTCAGCACTCCTCAGGCTAGGGAGAAAGAACTGAAGTAGGCTGAGGTGTGCACTGTATTCTATAGACAGTGTCGATGATGTCATCTTACCATGAGAGCACTACTGCATTCCGCAGTGGATGTGGCTTTCGTATATAGTTCCATAGCTCAATGCCAGAGATGTTAAATGCCATTAGTGTGAATGCACAGAGGCAGCTCTAGAAAAACAACTATTACTAGTAACTAACTTTGATTTTTTTTTCAAATATTTACAATTAATGTGTGATCTGCAGTTCATGAACACTTGACAGTGTATACAGACAATATATCAGTTATGGTAGTTTTATCTAACTGACATCTATATCATGAAAGGTGGTGTCATCAATTATTTTTCAAGCTTATTTCAGAAATAAATATTTTGTTTAAAAATATTGGTCTTATTTCTTGGAAGAAAAAAAAAGTTATCATTTTATATTGGCTTTGCACAGGTGTAAACATTTACATAACATGCAGACCAGAGGAGAATCAGACCCATTCACTTTATAGTATTATATGTGGCAGTTGCTCCCAAAATGTGGAATTTTGGGAATAAGCAGTATAACAGGAGGAATGTTGCAAAAACAATAAATATTTTTCAAATGTAAGTCATTTTGAAATAAAAAAGGAAAAGCAAACTAATTTATTTTCTATTATTAAAACCAAGAAGGAACTGAGACAAAAGGTATTTATGAAATGTCATAAGACTGAAAGCAAAGAGAAAATTCAGCTGCAACTACTAAAAAATCTCAAGTAGGCAAGACAGAATCTTTCTTTTTTCGTATCAGAATGTGTGTCTTTTAAAAGAAGCCTACAGGTTTCTCCCCCCCCCCCCCCCTACAAACATTTGCCTCATTGTACTAGATTTCAGAATAGCACGAATTGTTAATTGAAATGAATAAAATGATAGCTAAGCAAATGGGTGCAAACTCACAAACAGGCTAATTGTTGCACTAGAATGTGTCTGTTGTCAACCTTCACAGATTGTCTTGCAGTTCCATTGGCCTCAATGGTACTTACTGAGGATTTCTTTTTATTTATTTATTTATTTATTTATTTATTTGTTTATTTATTTGGACCAGACTAGTAACACAGGCAGCATGAGAGAATAATGAGCTGCATTCTTGGGGCTAGTGAGGAGTCAGCACAAGTTGTGGGAACAAATAACAATCAGACAAGGCAGTGTTTTATAATGTCAAGGCCACAATCCATCTCTGGGATCTTTCAGAGCTGGGCTAATAAAGGCCCATTTACAATCCCCAACAGAGTATAGTTTAATTAAATTTGTCCATTAGAGGACTTCTCTCCCTCCCTTTTACATTCTAAAAATTAATTCTTCTGCTTTCTGCTTGTCTTTCTTTCTACATCACAGATGCACTGAACCTTCGTAACCGCCAGGTCATCTGCATCACGCTCAAAGTCCTCCAGCACCTGGTAGTGTCAGCTGACATGGTGGGGGAAGCCTTGGTGCCCTATTATCGTCAAATCCTCCCCATCCTAAACATCTTTAAGAATATGAATGGTGAGTTATCCTACTAATCACTGTGTCTTTCAACCCTAAGGCAAAATGGGGCTTGAGGCAGGGTTAATTAACAATGTAGTTAGGATTTATTACTGCATATAAACCCAGATCCGTTTGGAGCTCTAAATAATGTAACCCCCACTGCTATTCCCTAGGGATGCAGTAAAATTAACAATTTCATTTATTACTCCTTGCATGTACAGCTTATTTAACACAGTACAAAAGCACTGAAGCAGTTCTGTAATCTTCCAATAATTAAATTGTAAAGTTTTGTAATAGTCTTTTGACTACATTAATAGATTGCAAAAAAAATTTCTTTTCTTTTCAACATGGTAATTTTAAGTTCACTATTTTAATTCTGTTCTGGGTTCTCCTCACCAGTAAAGTTCATTCTTACCCATTATTGCTTTTTGGTTTAGGAGAGAATAAAAAGAAAATTATTAACCAGTTAGTCAATTTGACAGACAAGAGAAATTATCTCTAGCAAAGCAGTGAAGTTTGGAGTTATTGTTGCACAATTAACAGGTTTTACTATGGAAGAAATTTAGAACCACTTCATGCTCCATACTCTTGAGTAAGTTGTTTTATTTGTAGTGCAAAATTCCATGGCTAGTTTTGTCTTAAAAAAAAATAACAATAAAGTACTGCATGGAGTATTATTACACCATTCTCACAAATCTGAACCAAACTGCTATATCCAAAATGTCTTGTTCCTGTAGTAAACCTCTTGGCATATTATCTGTTCAATCACTTACTAAGTTATCGACTTCAAAGTTTTATGCCATTCACATGCAATACTGTAGGTTAAAATAAGTTAATCGCTAACAACCATGCTAATAAAGGTTATAATGTAGGCAGGGTGTCTATGAAACTCATGCTATTTCAGTGTTTAGCCACTGGGCTACCTCCTGCATATATTACCAAATATTAGCTTATATTTGTCTGGGTTTTGGTTTTGTTCTTTATTAACTTTTTATTAAGACAAAATTATTATAAAATGTTAACATACCAAATCGTACATTATTTATTTGGGATCAACGTAATATTCAAAGCATCTGGCTAAAGATTCTGGTTTGCTGGCTGGGGAGCCCTCGTTCTCTGGGTATGCTAAAAAAGGATGACCAGATTTCTAAATACTTGTCTTTTTTTTGGCGCTTCTCTTGTGTATTTGGTATGAAAGTTTGCTCATTACAAGGACAGTCCATATTTTATTATACCACAGAAGGAGGAGTCGAATTTTTCCAATAATGTGCAATACAGAGTCTAGTTGCTAACAGTAAAAAATAAATTAATTTGTTCCATTTTAAATGTAGATCCTTTACTGGAGCATTAAGTAAGAAGGTCAGGGGATCTCTAGAAAGCCAGCATTTAGTCATAAAATGAATCTCTTTAATAATTTCCTCCCCAAACCAACTAATTCCGAACACAACCACCCTATGTAAATATGTTCCCTTTTCTTGCAACCCTTCCAAGAGAGCACCTCCCCAGTAGCAAAAATATTATGTATCTTAACTGGAATCAAATACCATCTATAGCAGTGGTGGGCAACCTGAGGCCTGTCAGGGTAATCCGCTGGCGGGCTGCGAGACAGTTTGTTTACATTGACCGACCGTCTGCAGGCACGGCCGCCCACAGCTCCCAGTTGCCACAGTTCGACATTCCCGGCTAACGAGAGCTGCCTGCACCACTTCCCCCAGCTCCCATTGGGGTGGGAGGGGAGAAACCCGGGGGGCACTGTGGGTACTGGGGAGGGAGCAGCCCAGGAGGTGCTGGGGAGGGAGGTGGTGGCGCACGGCCCTGGGCCCCCACTGATGCTGTGAGGGGGCGCGTGGCGGCACGCGGCGGTGCGCAGCCCGGGACGACCACTGGTGCTGCAGGGGGAACAGTTGGCGAGGGTCCCTACCTGGCTTCACTCCTCCCTGGAAGCAGCGACATCCCCCTCGCTCAGCTCCTCAGCAGAGGCATGGCCAGGCAGCTCTGTGTGCTGCCTCCACCTCAAGCACCGGCTCCGCAGCTTCCATTGGCTGAGAACCATGGCCAATGGGAGCTGTGGAAGCGATGCCTTCAGATGGAGGCAGCGTGCAGAGCTGCTTGGCCACACCTCCACCAGGAGCTGAGGGATGTCGCTGCTTCCAGGGAGCCCCCCTGAGGTAAGCGCCACCCAGAGCCCTCACCCCCTTCTGTGCCCCAACCCCCAGCCCTGAGCTCCCTCCCACACCCAAACTCCTGCTGCTGTGTGGGGGGCAGTGGCCTGAGACTGCCCCAGCTGTGGCTGGTGCGGCTGGCCCGGGGGCCGTTCGAGCTGCTCAGACAGTCCCCGGGCCAGCCACACCAGCCATTTCAGAAATCACGGCAGTCCCAGAAAGTCACAGAATCAGTGACCCCCATGATAAACTCACAGCCTTAACCATGTGTACAGAGTGGAATGGAGGAGAACTGTGAATGTCGGGGAGTTGTAGGATGTAGGGCTGTGATTAAAAAAAAAACATATGGTTGAACCTCTGCATTTGTGTGGAGCCCCATAAACTTCAGTTGGGTTTCTCACAGACACAGGGGGGCAACTTAGTGGGTCCAATTGCAGGATCTGAGGCCAAATACAACACATCAAAAGAAAATATATCATTTAAATGGTAAGTGATTTATCTGCTGAGCCCCATTTTCCAAATTTTAGCCCGAGGCAGGCTGTGAGCAATCCTGGTTCCCTCGCTGCTATTGTGTCAGATGAATGGTAGGGAAGGCTCATGTCTGCTACTGGCACTACATAGACATAAAGATGCACACAACTGGTTAGATCACACTTGCTATACAAAAACCAACCAACTCAATAAAAAAGCAAACAGGTTTTCAACCATTTGTATGACATCTTATTCTGTGGATTTGTATCTGATATCCAATTAAACATAAGACTTCATATTTGTTGTTCAGGAACTAAAAAAATTCCCCCCAAAGCCACCCCTGGATTCATCACTCTAAACAGCCAAAAAGAATAGCCCTAAATTCTATTTACTATGTTATGTTGTTGTTGTTGTTGTTCAACTTGAACAAGGCAAGAGTAACAGTTTGTGACTAGGTGAACATTTTAGTTTTGTGCATTCTAATTTTAATTAAATAATTATGTAACAGTGTTTTTACACTGCACATCAATTAAAAACTGTAACTAAGCATAGTGATTCAGTGTCTGTACTTGGTTTTCAAACGGAGATCTATGGAAGAAACCAGGCGCAATGAACTGTGACTATACATAAAGCTAAGAGTTTGCCTTTCTTGTAAAATCTTGTTGCACTAAAAGCTGTTTAGGTCAGGACAGAGATGGAGAGTGTAGTGAAGGAGAGTAAAGCAGTCTAACATCAACATATTTATCTAAAACTTCTCCTTACTTTCTAGGCAGAGGATGAGGGGAAGAGATCTCACCACTCTGAGATATTGGGCTTCTTTGCCCTTCCTTCCAGCTTCCTCCTTTCCCTTCCTGTCTCCCTTTTAACCGTCCCTAGCTGACTAGCTGAATCCCCTCGTTAACTGGTTAATCACCCAGTCCGTGTTCAGTTAGCTCCCCAATTTGGCCCGTGCAGGGCAGTTTACAGAGTATAGAGTGGTGAGTCAGCCTTAGGCGCCTCCCACTTTGTCACAGGCCCATTGTTCTTTTCTGTCCCCATCCTCTTTCCCCAGGCATTTTCAATAGGAGACAGTTCTAAATGAACACTCAAATGCCACTAGGTCTTCAGGCAGAAAGGGGAGTGCACTCATTGGCAAGCGCAGCACTTTCTCATTTACTTCACTCCGCTGAAGCTCTGCTGCTGAATTGGTCGACCACAGCTCTGGGTCTGAATATGGTTTTGCAACTCCAACATCAAGGATAATATTTTGATATTTATCTAAGCATAGTATTTGCCGGCACTCAAGGTATTCTGAAAATATATAAAACACATCTCCAAATTTTACCCTACTCAGATATCATGCCAAAATACCAAGATATCATGCACTATTTTTCTGTAAATGTTTATTTTAGTCTTGGAGCAATCTGACCAAAGAAAAGACAAAACAAGTAAGAGTTTTCCCCAGGAGGATTATTTTGCTAATATTACCAAAGAGCTTCAACTGTTAGTGGCACATTTCACATGATGCTAATTATTTTTTTCAACATTTCCATAAAATCTTGTTTTCAGCTGTTTCTGATGGATATTTTCTCTAGACTGAAATTTTACTCTACTATATAACTATTAAGTACATTTATTGTAAATAAGAATTTGTTTATATGTTTTTAGAGACAAAAGGGGCAATTACAAACAATTCAAAGGTTTCACATTATTTCTTCCTGTATCTTAAGACCTTTATTTTTCCAAGTGGCATCTTGCAGGTTGTCTTTCGGTATTTGAAAACAAACTAAAAGCAATTGAAAATTGTAGTTATTTGTTCTATCCAGTACCTTGAGACAAAATTCTGATTACTGCGCATTGCTCTAATTTTTAAATAATTAGAGAAAGAGGGTTTTCAGCAACTAAATATAGCATCTGATTCAGCTGTTGGATCCTTGACACGCAGTGGGCCTGATTTTGATTGCTAATTCTAATTCATACCAAGATAAATTATTTGTCTTCAACTGAGATTTATAATGGCACATAATAAGTGACACCAGAATCAGGCTCAGCATCTCTGATGACTTGGGGCTATATTATTTTTTTCCAGGAAGAACTGTATGGAAAGTAAATAAAAATTCAGAGTTGGAACTTGTAGTGGACCACTTTATGTCCCAGAGAGAACATTTGCAGGTTGTGGAGAGGGCATTGGTACAGTCTGCTGCTTTTCTTTCCCAGAGAATTTTTAGAGAGACAAGGTAGGGAAGGTAATATCTTTTATTGGACCAACTTCTGTTGGTGAGAGAGACAAGCTTTTGAGCCACAGAGAGCTCTTCTTCAGGTCTGGGACAGGTACTCCAAGCATCACAGCTCAGAGTACCTTTCTCAGACCTGAAGAAGAACTTTGAGTGGCTTGAAAGCTTGTCT